GGGGGTGAGGGACAGGGCCCCCTTACCAGGGATGTGCACACAGTGTGCTCTGAAGGAAGGCCACAGCTCCCCCGGACAGCCCTGGGTAGCAGCGACTCAGCAAGATGAGCCCTTTGCGCAGGCCTTTCTGCATGTCTCGCGTGCCCTCACTGCTCACAGGGTACTCTGCGCTCAGCCTGAGTGGGAACAGGGTCGAGGACTCAGGTCTCATGGGGATCTGAAGTCATCCTCATGGATCCAGTATACCTCCCCCCCACCCTGCCCCCAGACACCGCTGTGCAGAGGGCTCACATTATGAACGCTGTCACACCGATGGCCCAGATGTCAGTCTGTGGGACGGCACCCTGGCCCTCCAGGAGCTCTGGGGCTGGGGGAGAGGGGTGCACAGGTGAGAGTCTGGGTATCTGCAGTGGAGGAGGCTGGATGCAGGACCACAGGAGGGACTTGCTCCTGGCCCACTCCCTACCCCACGCACCCATGGTCTCCACGTAGTCTTTGAACCTCTCTGAGGGCAGGACCCTTTCCTGGGTGAGGCTCTGGGCATTCCCCAAGTCGACCACCTTGAGCAGGTTGTACTCGGTGACGATCATGTTCTCGGACCTGAGGTCCAGATGCAGGATGCGTTGTGCATGAAGGTACTGGGTGGCACTCAAGATCTGCCACAGGTAGTCCTTCACCTCCGATTCAGAGTAGGAGGCCCTGGGAGCACATGAGAAAGGGCTCTGCTTTGTCCATTTTCTACTGAGCCACCTTCTGTGCAGGGCTGAGCCATTGTTCCTGAGCAAGGAAGTGAGCCTCAGGCCCAGTGCCCCACCTCCCCCAGCCCAGCATCCGGGCCAGGCAGCTCCTCACCGCTCAGCCAGGCAGGGGAGCAGCTCAGGCCCAGAGCACAGCTCCAAGATGAGAACCAGGTGCCGGGGGCTGAGGTACGCGGCCTGCAGCTGGGCCAGGTGCGGGTTGCGCAGGCCCTTGAGGGCCTCGTACTCTTGAAGCACGGCCGTCCTGTCCTCTGGGCGGTAGGGGATGATCTTGGCGGCCAGCACACGTCCGCTGGCCTTCTCCCGGCACTGCCGCACCACGCTGAAGCGGCCCCTGGCGAGGAGGCACAGGCCAGGATCCTGAGGACCCATCCTGTCCCCCACACGCCCTCCTGCAGCCCTTTCCCAGTCTCAGAGCAGCAGGGAGGAAGCCCAGCAGGGAAGGAGGGGGTGCAGATGCTGGTTGGGGAGGCCACTGCACCTTCGGATCTGTGTCTGGAAGGCGAAGGTCTGCGCGCTGGGGAGCGGCTGGGCTGGCAGTGCAGGGCAGCTCTCCTCAGAGGCTGTGGGAAGGAAAGCCAGTGACTCCCCCTAGCCCCAGCTCCCCAACCTTGTCTTCTACCACCCCTTCCCTGGCACCCTTTAAACCCACACTTGGCCTCTCATTCCTTGGACCATTGGGAATGGGGAAGGGCAGCATAGTAGCTAGAACAAACCTTCCCAGTGAATGTATGTGTCTTGGCGAAGTGGCAGGGCAATTCCAAAGGGACCACCACCCAACGCCCGCTAGGTCCTGCAGAGGCTCACCGAGGTGGCGGGGCCCTCCCAGGTGGACCTGCTCCGAGGGGCTGCTGTAGGGACCCATGCCGGCCTTGCTGACGCACGCGGTCCGAAAAGTATACACACCGCCCCGTGAAAGCTTGCTGGCCAGGTAGCAGCAATCAAAGATGTCTGAGGCCAGCGTGATCCAGCTGCCACCTGGCCACACAGAGTGGGTGAGGGGTAGCCCCAGGCCTTCCCACTCTAGAGTCCAGGGTGGAGAGACCTGTCCCCAAGTAAGGCTGTCCAGGGGTGCAGAGAGGCCCAAAGCTTCCCTGATGGGTCTTCAGGATTGCAGCGTGGCCAGGTACTTCCCCCATGGGTGCCCAGAAGCACTGAGTGGCCAGGTGCTTCCTGCACCCACCCCCCACTAGCCACCAGGCCCCCCAGGAAGCCGCACAGGCACAGCCCTACCTTCCAGGCTGCACTGCACGATGTAGGTCACAGGGCCATAGGACTCCATGGGCTTCCAGACCAGCAGTACCCCATCAGTATACACCTCCCCGATGTCTGGACGCGGGGAGGACAAAGGGCGCTCTGCAGGGCCCAGAGTCAGGGGTCTCAGGTGGGCTCCCAGGGGCAGCTCTGAGCCCCTGACCCCACCCCTGCACCCTACTGCTAGGCCCTGAGCCCACCTTCCCCTGGTTCCATAGATTCCAGGGTCCCATTTCAGTACTGCCTGGTAGAGAGACCCAGTTCCTCTCTGGGCCGAGGCTTAGGAGGTATCTGCCTGCCTGACCACAGGCTTTCTTCATCTGGTGTATGCTCAGGAACCCCATAGAATGGCCACCCCAAGTTCTAGTCAAAGATGCCTCAGCTTGGCTGAGTGGTGAAGCAGGGCCCCTAAGGTTGGCCACTGAGGGCTGGCCCCCCTCTAGGGATCAGGCTGGGGGCCTAAGAGCTAGGCCTGCCTGCCCCATTGGAAACTGCAGGGAGGAGATGATAGCCTGGAGTGGCCCCTCTCCCAGTCCCCAATGAGATGGCCTGGCGAGGCCCACACACCTGCCTTCCGGAGGACAGCTGTGGTGACTGCGGTGCCCAGCGCATTATGCACGCTGCATGTGTACACGCCTAGGTCCTCAGTGGTCACCACCAGGATGGTCAGAAGATGGAAATTTTTTAGTGTGGAAGAGATGAGGAGGCGGGCACTGCTCTCTAGGAGGACTCCATCTGCATCGGGATAGAGCGAGCCTAGGAGCCTGCTCAAAACACCCAGGCCCCAAACACTGTCTGGGCCTCAGTTTCCCTCTGTAAGTTGACAGCCATGGCCTCAAGGAGCACACCCTGCCACTTTCCCACCCCCTCCCTGACACCAGGATGGCTCCTTACCTTTATTCCAGGTGGCCTGTGCAGCTGGTTGGGCGGACACCTGGCAGGCAAGAGTCACAGACTGGCCCAGGACTACTGTCTCATCTGCAAGCTCCCTTAGGAAGGATGGCGCTACAGAAGGGAGGTTGGACCAAGCCTCAGAGATGATCCCAGACCAAAGAGCACAAAGCCCCAGGTGGGGATACTAGAGAGAACCCCACCCTCACCCAGCTGATCTTTAACTCTAGCACCTCCTCCAGGAAGTCCTCTAGGACTGCTCAGTCCTGACAGCCAGGGAGCCGGAGCACCCCCATCTGAGCTCAAGTTACTGTGGGTTTTAGCTTGCCCTCCTGCTGGTCTGGGCACTGTGGTCCCCTGGATAGCAGGGGGACCCAACCCCAGACAGCACATTCACCTTGGTCTCTGCTCTTCAGACCTGACAGCCGGAAGGAAGCTAGGTTTGCCTTTTTCCTGGGAGGCCCCTCCTTCTCTGGACCTGCAGGGAGGACAGGACCAAGGAGGTCACACCAAGAGGCTGGCTCCTTTGGGCAGTCAGCTGCCTGGCACTGTCACCAGGAGCATGGGAGGAGGACTCTGGGGCCACCTACTACCCACTGCCAGATTCCCATGTGGCAGAAAAGCCCAGATCCCAGGGATGTGTTTTTTTGGAAACAAACTAAATCTGCTGTGGAGGCCACCCCCCCTCCCAGTCTGTCAGCATCTGTCCATCC